AGAAGCAGGTACCAAGTCAGAGATCGCTCCCTAAACTTTTGTTTTATCTAATGAAATATAATTAATTGTATAAGTAAATTAATTACTCAATCATACGGGTCACTGAGACAAATTAAACAAAGATCTGAAAAGCCAAGCGAAAGGAGAAATATCAGGAGCAATTTCATTTTGGAAAAAGCTCCCAGGGATTTCAAATCTTACTCACACAAGTAAATTTTACACTACTGGGCATGACAATATTGCTGACTTTTATGTTAGCATGGAATGATGAATGTTTATAGCACTACAAAATTTCAAAACATTAATAAGTATTACAAAATTTTACTCACAATCTTGCAAAACTATTAGCATAAGGAGACCGATCTGTTACTGATGTCACCTGAGGCATTCCACTTCAATGTCAACAATTATATACGATAGTACAGAAAACACAATGTTGAAATTGCTTTCCTAAGCAAGAAATTATTTTGTAGCTCTCTCTAAGATAACCAGTTTAGAGATCTGGCAGATCATACGATAAAAGTAAATACAGCATCTCTTTCAAAAAACTGGAGTTTCACAGGTTTAGTTTCGCTTTTCTCCTCACCTTCCCCATAATCAATGTGTGGATTGGTTCCATGGTATACTTATCAAGGAATGAAAAGCTGTAGAATCTGCTCGTCATCTGGCAAACCTTCCCAATGGTGAATAACCTTGATTCCACTAAGTTCACCAGAGCGAAGAAGTCACAGAGCAGAAGAGGTCATCTCCTAACCTAAAGCATGCAGCCAGGCTTGCACTCTTGCATGTCTCCCACATAGTCTAAAAAGTCACAGTAAGATCCTGGCCTCCGTCAATAGAAATGTCCCATTTATTTCAATGTTTAAACAGATGAATCTGACTTGCTTTAGATGCCCATACTAGGAAAAAATGGATTTCACCTTAGGAATGAAATTTTTCTCTGCTGACTATAAAATGAGCAGAGGGTGACTAAATTGGTTAGAGACATGTACAGAGTCGATGCTTACATTTTGACATTCCACTATTGGAGCCAAACTCTAAATTTCTGGACAAAGAGCCAGAGCTCTAAGTCAGCATAATGCTTGCCTGCACGTAGCAACATATATTTGAAACAGGGGGAAAATTTTCTGTCCTAAATGAGCTGTTGAAATACCACTGAAGCGGGCAGGAAACGTGACCAGAATGTCACAGTTAAGTCACTAGCTGCTGAGCAGACTTCCAGCTCAGAGGCATCAGCACATGTCAGGCAGCGCGGGGTTCCTCTCCTCTGCCACATCGGTCGGCTCCTGGAGTCAGGCAGTGCTGAGCAGTTCTCATTCTTCGGTCAAATCTGCACCGAGACTTGGTGAAAGAGGAGAAAGAAGAGCAGAGGCGGCGGCAGCAGCAGTTCCTTACGTCAGTGCTTCTTCCCTTCTCCTTCCCCTGCCAACCTGATCCAGCTACGCTGTCCCCTTGGCATGCTGTCTTTCCCCCCAGCTTTCAAATTTTCCCTTCAGCTTCCTTCCCTCAGAATGGCTAGCTTGGTAAAGTTACCCTGTTTCCTCCGACCACACAACGCCCCCCAAGCCCTGCTTGACTGCTCGATCCACGCACACCCTTTTGCTCAGGCTCTGCTTCCCACCACTCTGGTAACCTGGTGGCCTCCTGCCCTTATGCCGCAGCACGGAGCAGGGCATCTAAAAGCCTAGCGTTAGTGAACACTGGAATATCTTGCTGGAAATTGGAATAAGGTGACACTGGTCAAGCTGGTTAGCCTGGACAGGGTCTGGTGGGTTCCCCGCCTATCTCAAGTACGGGAGGTCATGACAGAAGAGGTGGGAGTGAGAGGGACGGGCAGGAGAAGGGGATACTGAGATCATCTCCATAAAAACAGGAAACCACCGCTGACCCGCTTTCCATCTTTTGTGACTGAACTACAAGGACGTTAACTGGACTTAGAGGCTAAAGGTGATTTAAAGTTTTATGTAAGAAGTGCCTCTTTTCTTTAAACAAGTGAGTATTGCTTCCCTTTGGAAAGCCCTCCGGAAATCAACTGTGATCTTATAAGGTCACAATCTTGAAAATCTAGTCACACAAGACGTGTATTCTACACAAAGTTAAAAGCATGCGAGCTTTTTGGCTGATGTAATGCTGACATACAGCTGCATAGAGACAGCGCTGAAATTTGATCAAAAACAAGGCAGGAAAATTAGAAGGTGTATGGCTGGATTTTAATGAAGGTATGCTGGTAATTTAAAAATCCAGGGTTTCGGTGCACCTCGGAACACACTATATGAATTTTGATGCAGACTCTGGTTGAAATGGATATTGTAGTTGCGTCAATATGCATTTATTCTCATTATGAGACAGAACTGATTGCTTGCATCTAAGTATGTGTCACTCATGAAAATTAAAGGCAATTAAATATGAAAATTCCCCATTAGTCTTCTCCTCCTACCTATATCTTCCAGGTATAAAACATCGTACAAATCAGCATCAAAATAAAAAGGAGAGTCACCTTAACGCTGTAAAATGCATCTATCCCCCTTAATTACACAGGTTCCCCGCAGGAGGTTCATGAGCTAAGTGCGAACACAGCTCCCTCTAGAGCTTCAGTATTAGACCAAAGCACAGCACGCAAACCCCCGGCTCCAAAAGCTTGGCTTAAGTGCTCAGAAAGGCAGCACGGTGAGAAAGAGCAATATATCCACCAGAGAGGCCAGGCAGCCTGCCGCAAAGGCTGCAGGCTGAGATTCAGAAAACCACCCGTCAGAGACAGATTCCCTGTTACCTGTGAAAATGGCATACCTTTCCCATGTAAGCTTGTAGGAAAAGGGTTAACAGGTCCCCGGTAATGGGAGAGGTGAGGTACAAATCCCTGAACGCTTGAACCTTATTTGCTGTCTAGTAGGACAGGTGAGCCTTGACAGGGCTGAGGTTTGCGTGTGCACGCAGCGGGAGAATAGAGGATGCGAGCTAGCTCAACAGTTGCGTCAAACGTTTTGTACGGTGAGGCAAGAAGCGACATATTTAGCCCTTCGGAATTTACAGGCTCTAAGTTAATTAACCCAGCACCACTTCTGCAGGACCAGCTGCCCTCCAGAGCCGTCATTTCCCAGCCGGTGTGGTGCTAGCACCCCTCGCCCTTGACAGCCAGCCAAAGGCTTGCAGTGGTTGAAGCCCGTTGTCAAGTGTTGCCCAGTCTCACCAATATCCCACCCTACGGCCAGGGAGCGAGGGGTGGCACAAGCGTGTGGGGACAGCGAGAAGGAGGGGAGACGCGGCCTGCGGGCGCCTCCAGGTGTGCTTGGCACCTCCAGGTGGGCCTGCGCCCGGGGACACGGGGCCGGGGCTGGGGCCGCCCGGGGGACATGCCGCCCCTTCCCTCAGTGCCCCTTTCCTCGCAGTAATGCCGGTTTCCTTGAAGATTCCCTCCTCCGCTTGCTCAACCCGGAGATGCCTGAGCGCTTGCGCCAGCCCCGCTCCCGTTCCCCA